CCTTGAAGACCCTGAGCTCCGTATAACTTCTAGAACCTACACCTGTTAAAATGCCATGGGGCTGGTAAGGGAGCCGGTGGTATTGTGATATGAGGCTGGTGCATGTGAATAAAGCCGCCCCGTCGAAAATAGGCCCGAGATGTCTATACAGACAACCATGTTGATTTCCAATCAACTTGGCTTCTTGTTGTATCTATATCCTCATCTGTCCCTCTAGAATAGAAACACGATCTATACATTTGAACTACATTAATCACCAGCAAGTCACTAATAGGAGGCACATTCACCACTAACCATCAACACCGCGAGATTGATCACCAGCACCATCATTGAATGGACTGCTAACAAAGTGCTGAAATCAAAAAGCTGACTACGCTGATTGACTTTAATGGTGAAAGTGAGAATGAATACAGTATTTTTTAATACTATTGCGAAATTATGGGGCAGCATCAAAGCATGGACAACGTCTACGCTGGGTGAGAGAATCGCCGGAGTCTAGCTTCTGGAAACACCAAACCGATTCCTGGTATCGTGTCAATGACCCCTGGAGCCCGAATCTATCTTGGGACTCACTTCTCGCATCTAGCGCCATAAGCATTGAAGCAAATCACAACCTACCTGCACTCCGAAATATTTAGAGGCAACTCGCAATTTTGCCGACTATGCTACCAACAACAGTTGCCAATCCTTCTGAATGCATGGTCATCGCAATTCACAGCCACAACTGTAGGTATTTGGACAGCAGCGATCTAGAATGATATCTCTTCTCGCAGCCCACTGATCGGCCTATATTAGCACATACTGCATCCTAATGCATTCTTCGACGCATCGACTGTTTCAAGAAAACATTCCATGCCAGCAGCCACGCAGACATGTAGGCAAGGAGCCTACGGCGATGGCATATAAAGCTGGCGAGGGAACGCCGCAGAGAATGCCCAACAGCACCAACAATCGGAGAAATTTTCTACCTTTGAAGATCGCAACAATGTCCACCACGCTGCCTTGGAATCCGTTTTTTGTTTGCGAGATAGAAGTCAGCCCCAATGGCAGTCCTGGCTTCTGCTGCGGGATGACGAAGAAAGGCGCTCCGTGCAAAAACTCGATCAAATTTGAGGACACCAAGTTAGGCCACCAAAAGTTGAACATTCTCGCCAGAGAGCCGTTCGGCATTTCAACTTTGCAATCCAAGCTCTGCACTATTGCCAAAGAATTCCTCTGCGCGAGATGGCACCGGCAACGGCAACAAGGTGGCCAGCAGTGGTATGAAGCAGCCGTCCGCAACCAGGCGCGAGTGCCTCATGACTCTAGAGTTGCCACTCCACCCATTGTGCATCCGCGCCAGCGTCAGATATCGCCAGCCTCCAGGAGACGCCTGGCGGAACCAGACAACACTAACCGGTCATTCTCTCACGGGCTCAGGCAAGACCAGCCGGTGCGCCTGTCAACAAACCCCGAGCCAGTGCAATCAATCAATCCCTTTGTGACTGCCGAAATGCTGCGGACCAACAGTGTATCATGACACGTTTCGCCGGCTCGACCAGCTATCCTGACCTCGGTCACTAATATCTGGGCCGGTGTCCAGGACTTGTCGCTGCAGAACCTCCGCTTGAGTGAAGATGTCGACGAGATTCACTGTGTGTTTTGTTTGGCTGAGGACGAGGAACAAGGAAACGAGTGCGTGATCCTGCATTGCGATCAGTGCCGAGCGCATTGCCATCTATCCTGCGCGGAAGAGTGGTTGGAAAAGCGACGCACAGGCTTTGGCACGTCATGCTGTGTGTGGTAAGTATGGATGATCTTAGTTCTGCAATGTCGGGATGCTGATAAATGCAGTCGAAACGAAGGAAGTCTAGACGCCTTGATTCGTCCAGTCCGAGTCCCCTCGGCAACCGAGCCATCAACCGATAGAGAGCCTGTCATCGTCAGACATTCAGTGCCAAACGAACCTCGTCGGAGTCAGCTGCCTCAGCGATCAACGGGATCCCCACGGGTGTCATTCGAGCAGAGTGGGCCCCGTCGCTCAGTCAGAGTGGTAGGGGCTCATCTACCGGAAGACCCGTCTATCTCTGCACCGCTTCGCCGGTCGGCACGACTGAATTCCATTCAGCGTAATTGATCATCCTTCACAGCGAATGAGAATAGGAGATTAGATTAGCGATGCAGTGTTCTGATGCACGTGACATCACGTGACCAGACCGCGGCATTCGGACCAGCAAGAGAGATATGGAGTTTTGGAGCAAGCTTAGCAACCAAATGAATGAAATCCTGATCGTTAACCCCACAGAGCACTTCTCCACTGATTCACATTTGCAAGTGCTAGATTTTGATTAGCCTAAAATGCTACTGGAAGTTTTCCTCATTTAACACGTTACCGAGAACCAGTAAATAAAAGTTGTTTGTACATCATACTTAACGGCGGCGGCTAGAGTAATGCCGACAGCGAGTTCAGCTGAGCCTTGTGGAGCGCGAAGACGGACCGTGTTGGCAGAAAAACAGCTCGCGGGTCGGCTGGCGAGTCTCGACAATTTTTCTATACTGCCTCACGACGTATTGTAACCAGCTCATCTATATTTATCTACAACCATTGTTAATCTGAGTCTGGGAAATAATACATTGATCCTGGAAACGCCAAAAGCGATTCTAGGAGCTGTTTTTCTCTGGAAACTTGTCTTTAGTTCCTGGGGCCATTTTCTGTTTCCAGGAAACCGAGTTCTACCCCTGGGATCTCCACTATATGATCCTGATTGAATACGAACTGGTTTTGGGAACACATTGGCTGGATCTGGGAGCTGTCGCGCTCCTGGGACCCTACTTCTGGATCCTAGAATCAATATTCTGCCTTCTGAGCTCGCGGAAAGCCCTCACAAGACACCTTCACCGGACCTGCGCACAAACCTGCGTAATTCGCTACTCCCGTAAAGGCAAAGCTATAGCCCCAGGAACCGCACTTGAGGTTCCAGGAGTTGGTGAATCTGTCAACAGGAACATGACTTTGGTTCCCCGAGGTGAAAGTACTAGACCCCAGAAGCTACGTCGGATTTCCTGGGGGCTACGTGGCCCCCAGAAGCTGCTCTTTTGCCCCCAGAAACCGCACCAAAGCCCCTGGGAGCAAGAGAGCTCCTAGGGCCAGGATGTGCATTCCCAGGGCTGATAGAGCTGTCAACATGGGCGTGACTGATTTGTCATGGTGGGAATGGAGAGTCTACAAGTTACGTACGATTCCCTGGGGCTATGTGATCCCTGGCAGCTCACATCATTCTCAGGTCGGCTTTTGAAATCTTGACGGCCGCCAAGGTTGATGGTTATTTACGCAGAGCAGGTCGTCAACCATCACCTGCTTGCTACACCAAGCCACTCAGCATACTGCTCCAATATTGGCCACGAAAGGTTGGCTAGTCAGATCAAGCGACGAACATGCTTTGGTTTCAATCAAGAAATTCAATTGGTAAATTATCTCACCAGATCTGCAGTAGAGTCCATTCCTTTATCGTTTTCATCGCACCTCTAATGGGTTTGGACTCCACCTCCCTCATTTTTCGAAATCATCATCAAATTCTGCGACTGCCTTTGTTCCGCAAATCCCGTTGACTCGTTCCTCACTCCTACTTTAGGAGATCGATGGAACCCCTATTTGCCTGTTTATAGGTCCGTGTGCGCACTCTGCTAGTGTCCGCGTATGGCGCATACGGCAAAAGGCACAAGAGACATAATGACTGCTAAAACTCCGAAAGCCGCCTGACTAACGGCCCCATAGTACATAATCTTGTAGTATGGAAAATAGCGCTCACTGTCAAATAACTCAAATGATGTCTGAAGACCGTGGACCTTGCTGGCAACATAACCCCCCAAAGATAGAACAATCAACCCGACAACGAGTTGAGTGCAGACGTAGTAAAGTCGATACTTGCGGTCTTCTCGCAGGCATCTTGGGTGGATCGAAAGGGCGATCCCGAAGATTGAAAACACCGCTGAGATGAGGGCCACGATCACCATGCCCACGACGATGTTTTCCATGAGATTTTGGAAACTGATGTCCAAAATAGAGTCGCTTGAGGTGGCGAGGTCGGATTTTGCGCGGTCTCGTAAGATGACCGCAAAGCGTACAGTGGCCGAACTGAGACCTGCAAGAGCCAGCCAGGTGATGGAAAGGAAAAAGAAGGCAAGACGCATTCGAATTGTGGCCATGGTAGTATTCAATGGCATTGTGTCCGCAAGGAAGGATTTTTCCGAATGGAGGAAGGTAAGACAGGTCTCGTTAAGGAACAGCGGAATGATGAAGCAGGTCAATCTCCGGGCACCGTGAATTTATATGTCCTATATGGTCTTTTCACATAATTTTTGCCTTCACAAAGAACGGCCCAGCTGATAGTGAGCCGTGCTAGGTGCGTCTCCCATCCTTTGTTGCCTAATTGGTAATTGATAATCCTTGTAGGCACTGTCTAAGAATGTTTCAGGCCAAATCGCTATTCTTATCCGCTGGGTCGACGGTCTCGGGGAACGTGTCCGATCCCTCGGTAGTAACACATGTCCTGGAATCGTGCTGTGAGGTCCCAGGCGCTGCTGCCCTTTTTCGAAAGTTGTATCAGGCATTCTGAAATCGGATTGGTCACTGCACATAGTCATATCAGTCCACCTTATGGAAGAACATTTGAACCGGAAGCGAGGTCGTGGGGGTAGAAAAACATGAATACAGTTTCCCGTCCTACCCTTTTGATATTTTCTATTCGTGATATTAACCGACCCATTCTCCCACTGACAGGTCTACCATTCCAAATCAAAGTCCGACTGCCTGCGCTCTCTTTTGAAAATGTCGTTCGATTTTATTTCAAACAACCATTACGTCCAGGTGGGAGTCAACCAAGGTAACATTATACGTCTACCGAGCCGAGACCAGTCAGTCATTCTCAAGACACTCTAAGCTCCAATAAGGGGACAACACCGATGCTGCTACTACACTAGCTCTGTGTCAGGTTCTTAGAAGAGCCTAAAGATGCCGAGACATGGTTCAGGACAACGTATCTGAACATGCTAAAATTGTTGGAGTTGCAGAACGCCTGGACACCCTTCTTCTGGACTGCAAAGACCTCAATTCTGCACAGTGGGGCTCTCTAGAGAATGAGGCTGTTATTGCTGTCTTTTCACTCTTATACTGCTGCATCATGGAATGCTACGAGCTCAAACCTACTCCTCTGGCAATCTCGTCTGTATGCGATCAATTTGACGCCTGCAACTTGACCCTCCAATGCGTGTGTGATGCAGCTATGATGTATGTTTCAGTTCACCTACCTGGTATTCACAGTATAAATATTCTAACCAGATCGGTGTTCTAGGGATCTGAACTACAGGAGATGGGCATCTTCACAGCAACGGAAAACTGCAGAGGCCATCGATCAAATGGACAAAAGGGCCAAGCATTGGGACGACATGAAGCAGACCGGGCCGGCCGTATACTATTCTCGGGCGCTTCTTGATCTGTTGAGGAAAGATTGTGTGTGAGATTGTGCGGCGAGATTGGGGGACATGAATGTGAGCTTCGGCGGAGAACATCGTGGTATCCAAACCGTTGAGTACCATGGAAGGACGGAACGTTTTTTTACCTTTCCTTTCTAGATGACCTATGTTGAATAACCTTAGTGAGATGATCATGTTTTATGCTGTATAACGGGTGAATCGATGAATACATATTTGCTATCTATAGGACCGGGCAAAGAGAGCACAAGCCCGACACAAATTTCACTTTCTCCTTGATTCTAGCCTTGAAAGATATAAATGCCAAGTGAAACACGATGTCAGACCCAAGTAGCCCCAGAAGCAATCAGCTTCTTGAGACAGTAATGGGTGGGCGCCTGCCTGGCATCACTGAGATTAAATCCCTGCAGGTCCTATACGTAGCGAACTAAAGAGCACGGCGAAGCACAAATTACTTCATTACATGCATTGATTCTACTCGTTCACACTAGTAGGATAGTGATTTGATATAACACCTGCGACCCTGGAGGGGACCACGAATCAGGCCATAGAAGGCCTGTAGGCACAGTTGGGCTAGATGTAGTCCGACCATTCCGAATCCCCCGTTTATGGACCAAACCGAAGACAGGCAGCTATCAAACTCATATTCCTATTTCTTGATCTGAGATGGATTATGTACATGGTTCAGCCAGGTGGCAAATTCAGGAGACGAGAAGAGCTCTAGCAAGATATGCGGCCCTGGCTCTTGAGCGCATTAAATTGGACTTGCGACATTATTCTTTGCTCTGTGTCTTGTTTAGGGTTCAAAACTTCACAACTCCTAGGAGCCCGGGCCTCGTATAGTTTAGGCACCCCGGGCCCTTCATTTTCTGCAGCCAACAAGATCTTCAACTGACCCGACAAACCTAGAGGGCTATAAATCTCTCGACCCCGACGCCTTTGCACTATATGATAATTTCGAATCGCTAAGCAGTCGAGCAGGCTTTGTGTTCGAGACTACCTGAGACTTCTTGACCAGGACCATTTGAGTTCTCCTTTACATGCTCTCGAGCTTTTATTCTCCAAGCGCGGCTGCTTCCATGAGAATGAAACCCACCCCTGGCTGTTCAGACATTGGCCCCGAGTTTGACCGCCTGAAAAGCATCAAGAGGATTTCCCTCAATGCAAAGCTTGTGGCCTTTGTCGAAAAAGCTCATTCATCGATTCAGGAACGAGGACGTTTCAAGCAACGGGATTGTTACAAGAGATCTCTCCTTCATTACGCTGCCATGGGGAACTGTACAAACCTCCTTCAACATCTCCTACAAAGCAAGCCAAATATTGATTCTCGTGATCAGTGGGGGCGGACACCACTCTCCTGGGCTGCTGAGTACGGCTCGTTGGCTGCTGTGAAAATTCTACTGGAGCAAGGAGCAAACGTCAATGCATTGGATTATGAGGGCGGCGCACCGTTGACATGGCTGATACACGCCGGCAACCCTGGAATCACAAGCCTAGCGGCTACTGAGGCGTACTTAAGAGAGAGGGGCGCGAAAGAAGGGAAATTGAGAGGCATCAAGTTCGCCTGGGTCTGGTTTTTGACTAATTCTCACTTACTCCGACACGTTCGCCCGCACATCTAAGGCTCCCGATGACATAGAGCCAGCTGATATTGTGCTCTACTATGACGGCCATCAGATAAGGGTCATAGTTGTGGAAGGCGGGTTTCACAGACACTCTTGCTTTCTTTTTTTATTTGAGTTCAGTATTTTTGAAGTGGAAATAAAAAGCAACAATGCAGATTTGCGCGGAATGTTTGGAACATCCGTATGTATTCTATTAGTAAACATCCTATTCTTGCATGGCAGTCCAAGATAGTAGGGCAAGGGATACATGTGCTAGTTTCCACTTTAGCCCGTAAAGAAACTGGTATGTTTGACCCCAAACTGTCTACTAGAAGACTTTGAGTTCATGGTCGTTTGCGTCGACAATTTGCGTGAGTGCATCAACTAGAACTAGGTCTTGCAAATTTTATCTCGTATGGCAAAGCCCCTGAGCGTTGCTTGAAAACAGGATGAGACGACATATTCATTATTTATTCTTTCTAGGCTATAAAGCCAAGCTAGCTTATCATATAATAGATAGAATGAGATATGTCCTGGAGATGACTCCGTGTCTGATAGACTATGCCAAAGCTTCTCTGAGGTAGGGTGTTATGCAACTTGACCGCCAGCCTATTTCCTGGGCTGGACCACAATGGTAAAGGCTATAAGAATTCCATCCCTCTTTTCTTGAATCAAGCATACACTAGACTTTCCCAATGCGTTTCGAATGGGCTACTGTACAGAGATAGTAGTCAATACTATGCACTGCTTAATATTCTACCGTGACGTGCCTTCTAGAGCCTCGTGGGGTTTGCTATCTCATTCATAAATGGATTGCGAGTTCTCATATTATCACTTCGCTGGTGCTTCTAAGGATTTTCATTTCCTTCGTGGTTCCAATATACTCGTAAACAAGGAACGATCCATTTCCTAAGGCAGAAGGCGAGAAGCTAAAGCTGTACTATAGAACGCCCGGGGAACACTTGAATGATCATCCTCTTGATCAAAGCCCGCGTAGCACCTCTCTTCGTTGCGCCATTCCTTCTCAGATAATCTATTGTGGCTGCTTGATTTGGGCCCCTACCCGCTTCTATCAGCCACGACAACGGTGATGTATACATATCGTCCATGGAGTTAATCTCCACCCCATTGTCCAGCAAAAGTTTCACCGCACGCAATGCACTGTATTGCGCGGCCCAGGAGAGAGGCGTCCGCTTGTTCTGATCGAGGTCATCTTTGGCTGTCCCATCTTGGAGGAGATAAAGAAGGAGCTCGGCACAGTCACCCATTGCAGCATAGTGAATGAGAGACCTTTTGAAAGGTCCTCGCAGGTTGTATATCCCTTTGTATTTGAGTGTTGCCTGTGCATCTTGAAGAAATGCCATAATGTCTTCATCAAAGCATATCTCTTTGATGCCTTTTAGGCGTTGAAATTCACCGTCAATGATGGTCAAGGAGCGAGAAGGAATTGTCATAGTGATCGCAGGCACTCCGAGAAGGAGATATGAAGAGAGAAAAGAGGTTATTTGCTCATCAAGGAAGTGGAAAGATGGAGGATTTTAGAGACGTTGGGATCTTCCTCTTCGTATAGCGAGTGTTGAAGGTGCACATCCCTCAGATGTGCTAGAAAAGGCCTGTGTAGCAACGCAAATTGCATAGGTGATGGATATCGTCAATTTAAATCGTTATTGATTTTGCCTCCGCGAGGTAGGTATTTAAGTATTCAGATTTAACGAGTTACTGAGGGTTGGCACACCGGATTCAAACTCAATGGTAAGGTAAAAGAGGAGGGAGGTGATCATCCCTTCATTCGTTTTCCAGCGTGAGTATCAAGCCCGATGAACAACCTGACCGGTTCGATATCCAAGTTCTAGCATGGTCTGAATTCTGCGTCTGCCTCAGCGCGGGTAAAGTGGCGGACAGTTATCGCCGCACTTGACATTAGTGGTGCTCAAGAGTCGTGCCCGCTATTATCGAATGCTTTTGGACCGCATGAAAATAGTGAAACGTTGTCTAGTTACATCAAATTATGACCATTGGCGCGTTGAGAAGTTGAGGCGAGACCTGCCGGATGTTTCTAGCAATGATAAGGCTTCCACAATATCATGCATTTTACGGATGGCCATTTTTCTGGGGCAGATAGATGGTCAGAAGATCAATCGTTCGCAAGATCCAGTGAGAACCGCAGATGGTATATATGCTTAAGACTCTTCCATCACCACTGGCGAGGACTTGCAGATATTGTCAGAAGCCTCTCCAATAGCCTCACCTCCTGCGACTATCGATTCAATACTTTGTGACCTCTAAGTCGGCTGCGGGATGGGTACCCGCAAACTGATATCACCTACGCCAGACACCAAACAGCACCGGATACAGAGCGTTCATAAACAAAACCAGCAGATTGTCCAAAGCCAGGACCATGTCAAATCTGAGCGACTCTATGGCACTCATTCCCCAGCAAAGATACTTGAGCTCCCCACCGAGTTGCTATATGATGTCCTAGATTATTTATCTACGGAGGATTTGGTTTCATTCGCATTATGTCGATGGGATCTGTTTCAGGCTCTGATCGGCTTCATCGAAAGCAAGGCAAGACCATCACTGCAAAGCCTTGGCCATCTTGTTACATTGTTCGAGAAAACGTGGCCAAAGAAATGGCTTCGAATCATCGTCCCGATCTGCGCCAGATCCGAACAGCCAATATTGAGAGATCTCGGGACACTTGTGGAGTTATTTGAAGATAGCCATTGGCCCAAAGAGCAGCTTCGAGATCTCATCCTAGAATCAGCTAGATATGATCAGCCGGCCGTGCACAGTTGTGTTGGGCTTGGATTTGAAGAGGTGGCTTGTCGGTATTTGCGGAAAAGCCCTCACGCACTATTCGACACGAACATTCTCCACATGACAGTTTTGCACATCTCTGTCCTCAAAAGTTTTCACACTCTGATCCAGGAAATTGGAACTATAGCTCAAAACATGGCTGAGTTTGATCGGGTGGAATTTGTCAATCGGCCCGACGACGTTCAAAACACTCCACTCGACTATGCTATTACGACCTCGTCTTCGACTATTGTGAATATTCTTGTTAGCGCTGGAGCTAGAATCAACGATACAGATCGCCTAGGGTATACTCCGCTCATGAACGCGTGTCATCTCGGACGAGACGAGGTCGTCCACTGCCTGGTTGATCGCGGGGCGGACATACGAGCCACAAACAGTTTCAACCTCTCGGTCTTGGAATGTATAGTGATTGGTGAAAGCCGAACGAAGGAGGCATTGTTGCAGCGCATATGCCCCCATGCTACCCAAGTGCAACTGAACAGAGCACTTTGGCTTGCAGTCAACGAAAAGAAAGAGCTTGTGGGTGTTCTCCTCAGATTTGGCGCAGACGGCCAATACGCCGGTATCCTAGAAGACGTTTCGTACGATGCAGAAAGAAACGGG